ACACACACACACACACACACACACACACACACACACGGGAGGGGGGAGGCAGAGGGGGTGGCTGTGAGGACAGAGTTGGAGAAAGAAACCCTCAGGCCACTGACATGTTTATGATAAATGTCAGACGTATTGTCACTTCTGACTCTGCACCAATGTCTAGTGTGTCCAAATGTGAACTCCAGATAATGTGGAGGTGTTGGAGTGATGGAGGAATCATGGCAACAAGTCCTGTGTGCTCATTACTACATCCTGCTGTGGACTAGGAAGCTAATGAGTTCCTGTGACTACAAAGTGAAACATTTTCTCTCCTGTGTTTGTTTCCATGCAAATCTGTGTCTGTATAGAAAGTGAACATGATGAAATAGGAAGCATGATGGTGTGCCTTCCTGGGGTGATCCATGTGTGACACATGAGTCTGAAAAGAGAAATGGGAGGGAGTGACTGTCTTGTTGGGTAGTTGCCTGTGTCAGTACCCATGAGCAACTGAAGGGGAGAGCAGGACATGTACCTCACAGGGAGTTGGGAACCTGAATAGAGACCCAGCTCTGCCAGTGGTTGAGGTCATTCTGTCTTCCCAGGCCTCCATTGTCTGTTCTGAAGAGTGAGACTACTGGAAATGTTAACCTGCCCAGTCTCTCTAGTCCTAAACCCAATAGCTCAGTAGGAAATCTACATTCTGCCTCAACTGATTGTATAATTCTCTGCATAGCCTCACATTACAGTGTAAATTCCATGTTGAATGAAATAAAGGTATACGAGGTAGAGCACTTCCTTGGTTTTATCAGTATTTTGACAGCTGTAGTAGGTATGGGTGTTATGTCTGGGGTGAGAGTAGACTTCGCTACTTTCTTCGATTACTGGTTTTGCTCCAAAGTATGTGTGTTTGGAATTATCAGAAAGTCCCTTCAGAGATTACTGCCATCATTGCCTTTCTCCACTTACACACTCCTAGTCTTTTAATAACTAGGGGCCAAATTCCCTGGCCAGTAGTTTTAATTTGCATTAAAAACAGATTTGTTATTTACAGAAGCACACAGAATTTATGAGATTTGGAGCAGCAGCTCCAGCTTGGATCTCACCTAATCGTAGCCATGGAATCAATTAACAGTTCATCTGTGAAATGTGATAAAATCTTATGAGATACATATTGCCCAATAACCGAGAAGGAGATGAAAGTATGCTCCATACTAGTCACAGGGCTTCGGGGTTTTACAATCGCCACTGAATAGAGTCCCATTAGAAACTCAGTATTCAGGATGGCCACAAAAAACACCATGCCTGAGCAGATGATAGAGCACTGAGTAATAAACCTGGCTGGCCGTTCCTGCTTTGATTAGTTTCCAACACCCTTGAAAGGGGGCTGTTTAAGAGTTCTTGCTCTTGGCAAATGAGCCTGTGAAGCCTGGGGTGGGTGAGGGCAAGTGGGGAAAGACGGAGTTCAGAGCTATAAATCGCTGCAAAGCTAGTGCCTCCATGAAGGGCTGCTTGGGAGGCCCAGTCTGGCTAGTGGGCAGTGTGCCTTCACGGGGAAGGTCATAGCATTATCTAAGAGCCTAATGTTAGAAAAACCTGAGCTCCTTCCTACCCTGACTGGAGATTGTTTCTTCATCTAGCCCTTGCTAGGCTCACTATTATGTCTGGTTTCATAGGTTGGTGGTTTATATTCTTTTTATCATAGTCAAGTTTTAGGATGGAGCACTTTTAAAGACCATATAGTGTAAATTTCTTATTCTACCCTTGAGAAAATAAAAGTGAAATGCCAAGTGATGGAGCCAAGAACCAGAGCATGCCAGAATATACAGAGGACAGAAGTTTCCCAATTTTCCATGGTCCTGACTGGCCATCAAACTGACTATTATTGGAGCAGTCTATATGTCATAGTCTGACATGTAGTCATTAAATGCAGAGTGAAGGTCAGAAAATTGACATGAATTTAAGATGGGGAACAAACTTAAGTTTAAAGTTATGTAACTCCTGGAATTGTGCTGGAATTGTGAGGAAACATAGTAGTTTCCTCAATCATAGTGACTCTATTGGCAGATCTATACAGGCTTCCTGAGGTTTGAGGTACTCTCCAATAACTGTGAGCCCTGACTCCTGTATTAGGGAATAGTAATGAGGGAAGCTTCCCACAGTATCCCTTCTCATCATCCTAATATGTTTTGGTGTTGACAGTTATTTATCTTTTGCATGTTTCTCCCTACCTTCTACAGTTTTGAAACAACAGTGGGATATTTTGGAATGAAGCCAAAGACTGGAGAGAAGGAGATCACCCCCAGCTATGTGTTTATGGTGTGGTTTGAGTTCTGCAGCGACTTCAAGACAATTTGGAAACGGGAGAGTAAGAACATATCTAAAGAAAGGTAAGGTTGGACAAGGCATGAATGCCTCCCGAGCAGTCCATCTTTTCAAACATGCCTGTTTCACATGTGCCAGCGCTTTCTTTTGCATCAAGTCGACATCCAAGAAGGATTCTTGCCTCCCAGCTCCTGGAGAAATTCAGGGAAAGCTTGCTGCCCCCCTGGGCAAGATACACTCACATGATCTGATAAGCTCCTTTCTCTTAACCCCTTCCAATTACTAGCTAGTAAATGAAAGGCAAGTTGTGCTAATTTGCAACAGATTGCTTCTCTGTGTATTTTCATGTTGGCCCAAGCTAAATGAGGCTGCTTTGCTGTGGCAGACAGTACAGACAAATAAAAGTGAATGCTTTCCCCATTAATATACTGCATTTGCATCAAAGGGAAATCTCCCCAGCTCAGGCCACACTTCACACAGTGTTGAAGCCCCGCGCTGGATTTACAGCATCACTTCTGACTCCCTGTATCCTGCTGAGGACATCAAACTGTGTGCCGCTCGGCCTCCTTGCAGTCTCTTGATTTTATTACTTGGGAGTAAAAGAAAAAAAAGTCAGCTCTGAACATAGGCACTGTGTGAAAGAGAGACAGAGACAGAAACAGAGACAGAGAGACTTTAGCACTGTTTATCAGAAAGAAAGCATTTCTGCTTGACTGTGGCATTCAGGCTGCTATGGTTCCATGAAGGCTGTCAAGGGTTGAAACTTCACACAGACCTTGTCTCTAACTCTTGAGGAACAGGTATGAGGCTGTTATTCAAGATGACAGGGAAAAAGGCAGAAGGTTCTCTAGAGTGAGAGAGACTGTTCAGTTGTAGCTTCTATACTGCAGTAAACATTGAGACCTGAAACTCCACAATTAGTATATTTGTTCTCTAATTTACAAAAAACTGTCACATTTGAGAGTATATATGTACAATGTGTAAGACAATGTACATTAATATGTGTTTTGCCTTACACTGCTTTTTAAGTTGAAAATTTAGAGAATTTGACTCGATATTATTAAATCTCTAGATATTTTCTCAAAGAATTTTTTAAAAAGACACTCCCTTTTTTTAAAAAAAAGCAAGTCAAAACTCCTTTTTTTAAGCTGAGTCCAGCTGTGAATGACCACACCTATAATTTCAGCACATGGGAGTCTTGAAGAAATGGTCATGAATTCAAGGGCAGTCTTGGATATAAAGTGTGTCCCAGGCAAGCCTGGGGTACAAACAACATGAGACCATGCCTTAGAACAAGAAGAATATTTATCTGCACATCTTCCCAGCATAACCTCTTCAGGAAGGAAGGAGATTAAAAATTGAACGTACTCAACAAAGGCAAAGAGGTCCATACCTACAGTCGCAGTACAGGAGACAGAAGCCAAAGGATTGTGAGTTTGTGTAAAAGTTGAGAACTCATGATGAAGATAAAGTGAAGTAGAGACAGACCCACAACATATCAAGGCAGCATGACTGACACACAACTGCATTTCATAGTGAGTGGAAAGGATTCTAGATGGTTCCAACACAAAGACACAGTCATTTTCAGTGTTTTCCTGGACAGGTACTCCAACTAGATCATCATGCCATATATACACTGAATATACAAAGAAGTCTTACAACAAATATGAACAATTGGGCATCAAGAATTTTAAAAAATTATGAGACGTTGAGAAAGCAGCTTATTGATCATATTTTGAAAAAGAAACCCTGACAAATGGTCCCAAATCTGCATTCTCACCCTAGGTAATATAACCTAAATTAGGTTCTATGGAATCAAGTCTTTTTGAGACTAGAAAGTGAAGTTCCTCTTCTTGATTTAATGGTGACTACTGGTTCATTGCTGAGTCTCACCAGGCTGCTGGGCACCGGGCTGGGAGTTCTGAACATGCATACATTGCTTAGGAATTTTCTACTCAGATTTCCAGTGTAGTTCTTAATGAATTGTCTCTGAAGCCTAAAAATGATCCAAACACAAACAAACAAAAACACAGAGGGCAACTAATTGCTTTTTGTTTTAACACATCTGTAGAAATCTTGAACTGTAGCACACCCTGCCCCCACACTCAGAAAAGTTAGACCAAACTCTCTGTGGTTCTGCTGTGGTGGTGTCCAGTCATCTTTCAGAGGGACTTTTTCTCTGATTCCCAGAATGGGCATTGGCAGCATTGCTTCCTGGGTTCAGCTGGGGAATTGCTTGCTTCACACTCTGTAAACCAGCACCTCCCCAGGGTCATGACTTCCCAAGAGCCTTCCCTGATCATTTAGCAGTTTCCGGGGTCTCTTCATTGCAGCCATGCTCTGAAGAGATGGATCACCAGCAAAGTGTCAGACTAAGACATCTCTGAACTTTAAGGATGGTTTAGGAAAGATTTTTTGGAAGCAACATGCTTAGAAAACTCTCCCATTAAAGACATTTCAGCATGCCCATTCAAGCAATTAGATTGATTATCTAGGATTTTCTTATGAAAATTTTCTTATGAAAGCTTTTAATTTTTTTCTTTTTTATAATAAGGAGTTTAGCTTTTAGGCTCTTAAATGATATATTCATTAGTATAAAATAAGCTAATTAAGTTGGCTTGTTATAATAAAACTAGAAGTAATGGGATTGCTTTGTTAACACTTATTTAATGATATATGATACTATATTTTTGATTATGGTTTTCCCAGAAATTAATTAAATCTCTGTAACACGAAATGCCATGAGGCAATATAACATCACTCACAAGAATTGTTCAAAGGCACAAAAAAACAAAATCCATAGCCAAATGAAAGCCTGATATCATGTAACTTTTGGGGGGAGAATTGTGGTTTGGGAATCTCATCACAAGAAATTGAGATCACTTGATTTTTAAATGCGTCTGAAGGCCAGCTGAAACCCAAGAAGTTACTGGAAAAGATTAATCAATAATAGTATTTTCAAAAAGAAAGACCCAAAGGTAAATGTTTAAACCCTGCTTCCAAATGAAATGAAAGAATTGGAACTACTTTAATCCACTTGAGGCTAATTTTAGGTAACAGAGTATTTACTTATCTTTCTGCTTAGTGTGTCTTTCATGAATATGCATTAGGCTAATATAACATTGAGACCCATGTGCCTCCATAGCAAGCTAGCAACTCCCCTTCATGAAGCTACAGCACTCTTTAAATGTTCTATTAAGATGTCCAATGTTGCTGTGCCATTAAACTAGTAAACTCTGTAGTTAAGAGTAGAGAGGGATAAGCCTCATTGACTACAATATTGCCACTGTGCAAAGTGGTGCACGCCTTTAATCCCAGCACTCAGGAGGCAGAGGCAGGTGGATCTCTGTGAGTTTGAGCCCAGCCTGGTCTACAGAGCTAGTTCCAGGACAGCTAGGGCTGTTACACAGAGAAACCCTGTCTCTAAAAAGAAAAAAAAGAAAAGAGAAACAAGAGGGAGGATTCCCTGGGGACATAGTTTAACCAATTAACTGTGTCATTAGAAATGCAATTTACTACATAGTAGTATGGCTTTAATTTTTCTTCAACATTTAAACCAGTATTAGGCACAAAAAAACCCCAAAACAAACAAACAAAAACATGTGTCCATGTCTAAGCACAAATCCAGAAGGTTCCTTCTCTATCATTGTGTAGCCCCCAGTGGTGACACTTACCCCCAGTGAAGCCTACTGATTCCTTCTCCTCTTTCTTCAGAATACAGCTAGTGCTCAGTTGTGTGAAAGGGACCTGTAGACAGAGGGCAGATCTCACAGTCACTCCCCTTCACTTTGCCATTAATTTGCTGTGCACCATTAGGCCAGATGCTTGCTGCACAGCAAACCAATAAATGTGAGTATCAGAATGGAGCAGGAGCCAAGCATTAACACTCATCTCTTCTAGCTTGAAGTCATGATTCTGGAAACGACTTTCTGGTTTCCTAAGACCGGTGCAATTTTGAGATAATGGTCCTCACTTTGGCTCCTGAGATTATTAAGGGTGATATTGGAAATTGTTGGAAACCAAGATCTGATACAGGACTGGGAGGAGATTGGATCTAGAGGAGTTTTCATTGCCCTTTAGACTTTGACAACTGTGTGCAGTATCACTCTCCCAGTTTTGTTGTTTACAAAATACTAATGTTCATCATGAAGGTCTGGTGCTTTAATTGAGGACATACACACAAGTGCTTGCTGTGCTCATGTCTCTGCGGTGTTTGGAGAAATGTTGTAGTTCACCAAGACTGTATTTCATACTCAGTGGCAACTTTGCATTGGCTTTACCTTTTCTTCTGCTTTTGTATCTGCATCTCTTAACATTCGAACACTTCCTGGGTTTCTGGCACACACCTTTTTCCATCCATTAAATCCAAATATCATCTAATCACATGCATAACAACTGCAAGAAGATAACCTAAAAATTTTACCGTTCTCCACTCATTTTCTGTACTTACTTTTTTGAGTCTTTAATTGTTTGTCTTTGGATCCTTGCTTCTGAAACATTTTATCAGTTGGGATATCTTCAGACATTCCCCACATATGTCCACATGCACAAAAGCCACACAATGAGCTATGAATTAGCAAAAGGTGAAGATGCCCCAGGGGAACCATGACTCCAGGAATAAAGTCCCTGCAAATGCTTCACTCTGAGCCAAGGCAAACTTTAAAAGTGCCATTTAAAAAACCCACAATGGGCCAGTGAGGAGCAAACAAGAAGTTTTGTAAATTTTATGGGCAATGCAAATAAGAAATTTCATTATATGCATAGCTATAATTTACACCATGGGAGAACAGAGTTACTTATTTGGTGTTTTTAGTTGCAGTTGAAGACCAACAGGGTTTTGTTTTGTGTGTATTCCTTGAAGCTATTATGGTTAATTATGCAGCTGCCACAGCCTTGACAAAAGATCTATCCAGGCTGGGTTAGGTGATCTCAAAGGCAGTTTTCAGAGCTCCCTATTGGCTATGTATCTGTAGGACCAAGGACTTAACAAGGTCATCCCTCCACCACTTAAGACCCATTGATTATAATACAATGCTGCAAAAATTCATATTTTTACATGGTGAAG